CAATGGTATGCAGCACACACACACACACACATTCACACTTGGCTCTGTTTGTAATAGTGGGCGCGTACATGCATATGAAAACCGCTTTCGTTTCCGTTTCAAGAAACAACTTAAAAATGGCGCACGTCAGGGCGTCTGTTGGCTGCTTGGTGGGCTGTTGATGTTGCTGTTGCTGTTGGAGTTGCTGTTGCTGTTGGAGTTGCTGCTACAGCCATCAGATAGAGATAGGTGCAAAAAGGTAGCAACTGCGACGTACAACCAGGCAACGAGATGACAATCAGGCAGACACTGCTCGCCGGCAATGCGAGAAATGGAATACAGTAAAAATAAAAAAGTGAGAATGTTACAATCGGAACTAAGCGACGGCGTAATACACTGATACCAATGCCAAATAGCTGAAAATAAGTGGAAAACTGATTAGCAATAATCAACCATCTAAATGCTTGTGACGACATGGCTTTGTGAAGGAATTTACCAGCAAACAGTCTTTAAAATTTGTGTATTCTGGCTTTAAAATTATGTCATATATATAAAATTGATTAGTTTTTGCTATGAAATTGATATGAATACATGGAAAGTTATATGAAGGACTTATACAATTACCGGCATCCGTGTATAGTCTCAACATCTATATTTTAATGCCTGTCATTTCATTTTTCTCTGTACTCTGACATCAATTTTATGTTGAAATTTTAGGCCGTTATGTGAAACATGTTGGCTCAAATACTTGCAAATGTTTTAGAAAGCAATCCAAAGTTTTAAGTCTCTAGACTGACTTCAAAACAGACGCAAATTAAAAATGCACTTTTTGTTTTACGAACAGAGTACAAAATGGGAAATATAAGAAACGCCCGTTCGTGCATGCCTGGGAAATAAACAGGAGCACAGGTTTTCATTTGCTATGCTTGTTGGCATTGGCGTTGGTGTTGCAACTTTTACTGTTGTTGTTTTTGTTTTTTATGCTGTCATGCAGGCAAAGTAAATTATGCGACGTGTAAAATCAATAAATCAACACGTTTATTGCTGTAAACGTATTGTGGAGCCGTGCGACGTGTCGAGCTTTTTGAGTTCGTCAGATGTATACGGTTTATATATATATAGATTGCATTATTCGATCAGTTCGTAATGCCCCCAAAATGTGTAACATTTAAATTTGTACAAATTGAAAGCGAAAAACGCAGCAGCTGGCATATGCCAATGAATTGCACGTCAGTCGAATGCTTCTTAGGTGGTTCCGCTGCCGCTGATATTGCAACAGCGCAACAGCTGCGCTTCATTACAAAATACGATTTTCCTTTTAGCACCAGCACCAGCAGCAGCAGCAGCGGGAAAAACTTTACTATGCAATTTTCAAGCTCGTTGAACTCGCGCTTGCAGCAAACTTGGCTAAGGCAAAGATAAACACGCTTAGATACGTACATATCTCTCTTATATCTCTCTTTTTCTCCATATACATATATACACACGTGCATATGTATTGTATCCCTAGCATCGTTTGGCACATGGCAAATGCTGAGTGCTTTATTGTTATGTTTTAAAATTCAATGAATTCTAAAAACCCTTTTGCTTGCTCTGCTGTCGTTTGGCATCGCATTTTGTTGGCTTGCATTTTGGTACGCTTTTTACTTTGCCACACGACAAGTCGACAGAATTTTGTAGTCATCACATTAACAATATAATGTGGCGCCACATTGTTGCCATTGTTATTACAACTGCTGCTGTTACAAATTGTAACTCAAGCGCCCTGATCTGCACTTCATTTATTTAAAACGTGCACGGTAGGTGCCAACTCTTGCAACAAGGTCAAACGGCACCTCTGAGGCACTAAAAGTGTAAAGAAAATGGAAATGGAAATGCAAATGAATATGCAAATGCCAAATGAAATTGTGGCTGCCAGCATTGATTAAAATCGATTGCAATATCATCATGAAAGTATAATTTATTGTTTATAATACACTCGCAATATGCTTAGGATACCTTGGATTTCAAGAGTTCTTAGACACTAAAGTCTCAAAATATTCCTAATATTATATTCTAGCTTAAAATTTCTTTCTCAGAAACAAAATTATTCTTTCAGATACATAATATAAACGGAATATACAGCCTCACTTAACTAAATTTAACAAGACAGTTTATTAAGGTTGAAAAAGACAAATATTTTTAAGGAAGTATTTCTGATAAAGTAAAATGAATAATATACTTCTAAGAAATTAGAAATTGAACAGTGCACAGCGCAACTCTTCAAATAAATGCTGGGTTAATACAATCAGCCCACGCTGAAAACGTAATTGCACAATAGACCATAATTTACCACCGAACCATTGACATTTGCATAAAAATATGCCGACTTCCATTTCCAATGGTAGCCAAGTCAAAGAAAAAGGACATCAGTCATCGTACATCATAAATATTGGTCGCACAAAAGAAAACGCATCGCATAAATTTGCTTCGTGTTCAGGAAAGGACTATATGCTTGTATATGTGTGTACCTTTGTGTGGAGCGAGATCATAATTATGGACTGTGAACGGCAAAGGACAACAGTTACCGCATGTCCTCGACAGCCAGTTGGACCAGGTCCTGCGCCTGCGTATACGCAATATTAATTAAGAACCAAAAATTGAAAATAAAAGAAATTCAACGACACACTTATTTGCTGGCCATTGGCCAACGCATCCCAGCAACTAACGACTCTGGATGAGCTGCAGAACAGCATCGGCATCACGAGAATGTAGAATTCTCGAGCCATGTAATAACAGCAGCAGCTCCAGCAACGGCAGCAACGGCAACAGCAGCAGCAACAAGAGATCAACCCGGAGAGTGTCTGGTGCTTTTGTGCCTGTTAATTTCCAGCTATTGTTGCTCCAATTGAAAGCGCCGGGCATAAATTAAATTTCGAGCAATTGCTGTGCTTGACGGCACTGGCTCCACTTGATGCCTGGATGTGTGTGCTGGTGAGTGACTGTGGATGCGTTTCTGTGTCATTGTGGTTGCCAGACCAGGTCCAACACAGACTCTGCCTCTGATCTGACTCTAAATTAGAGTTGAGATTGATTCGTGCAACGATTACATTTAGCTTTAAGAGATAGTTTGTATACGAATTGACCTCAAGCTCACAATTTTTCATGTTTTCGTTTATTTGCTAGTTTCAAAGCTTATTAAATACTAAATAGGAATATGGATTCACATTTACAGTTGATATATATACTATAATATTCACATTTACAGTACATATCGAAATGATTGACTGTTGTGGTTAACTTCCAGTTGTGACACGGACACATCTCTATCTTACTCTGCGTCTGACTCATACACCGGCTCTCAGCTCCAGCAACACAATGAAACCAATTTCAGTAATGTTGTCCTCAAGTGCTGTTGTAGTTGGTACAGTTGCTGTTGCTGCTCTTGTTGTTGCATCAATTATATTTTGCAAATTTACGCAAGGCACAAATGCATGTCTCACTTTATAATAATAGCTGAAATACGATTGCGATTACAAGTACATACTCTCAACAGTAAGGAATATATCAAACTTTATGCATCAATGCAATCCACCAACTTATGTATATGCTAGGGGCATTAATATGGCAAGCATACAATAGTTTGGAGCAGCTTGACGTTCACACACATGCAAATGCACACAAATAATAATGATGATAACTAAATAACAATTTGCTTGCCACCGACGATTTGCCCTTCCCGAGATTGGGGCTTGATCAAGTGCTCAAATTGCAGCTCTTGCGGTCATGTCATTAATATGAATTTCAACTCGTTGAGAGCATCTATCTATTGAATCTAACCCAATATTATAATTTATTTGTCAAGTCCATTGAAAATCAAATTTTGGTTGCTGGTAGCCAGGTATTTATTTGACTTGAATATGCTTTCAGTTATTTATCTTAATTAAATTCACTAAATGTTAAAATTTATTTTGACAATACTCTATAATTTACAGTTTACCTATAAATTAAAAATATAGAATGTGGAATATTCTCGCTCTTGCTTTATGAACAGAAAAAATAACTATTACACACATAATTTATTTGTAAATACTTCTTGAAACCCGCAGCTGCTATACCAAACCGAAAGCCTTTAGCACTGATTCTAAATAGAAGATCGGAGTATATATAAAAAATCACACAATTAAAACTTAAGTTTTTTATTTTTCAAAAGGTTTTGTAAGCTAGAAATTGACTATCTTGCGACACCTGCGGCAAACCAGGCAGCATCCGCAAAAGTATTTTTGTATTTCTGGTTGAATAGTGCGCATATGTATATGCCTATTGTGTGTGTACATGCATGTCCTTGTGTATGTATGTGTGTGTGTGTGTGTGTGTGTGCGTGTGGTGAATGAAAGTGGTCATTTATGACTTGTCTTTGGTTGTTGCCCGCTGTGGGCAATTCAAATGAATTTTTGTGCGCTGGTCGACGGTTTTAATTGAAAAGCATGTTCGTTTTGGTTTGGTTTTGCTTTCGGTTGGGTTTTTGGGCTTTGGCTTGGGCTTCGGTTTAAGAATTGGCTGAGAGAGGGCTTGAAAAAAAAAAAACCTTCTGTATGCCTTCTCGCCTTCCCACTTGCCACTAGCTGGCTGTATGTCGCTGGGGGACTATCGCTGCGGCTGTCACTTGGCATTGTTGCTGGGCTGCTCTCTGCAGGCGGCTGGCAAACAATTCCAGGACATACAGCGTACTGTGCGCACGCGTTCGTGCATAAATTCCGCCAAGTGTCCATTTTTCTGATTTGTGTGCAAAGCTTCGATGTTTTTTTTTTTGTTTTTTAATTTTTACTACGCCCGGCGCTGAGTGACTGGCTCTAGCTATTTTGCCTTGCTGCTGGTCATGCAAATGCCGAAAACACAAAAATAGAAAATGAATTCATTCAAAGAAGAAATAGTAGTAAGAATTTTCTATTACATTTTGTGGCTGCCAAAGAAGGAGAAGAAAGAATGAAAGAAAAAAAAAACGCTCCTCGCGCAAAACAAGAAATTAAAATACAAGCAAAAACGTTTTAAGAATTTTTAATTAAAATCATCGCCGCGGTCGCTGGCCAACAGAAATGCCTACAATTCGGTATAATCAATGTCTAACCACATTGTGGTCCACGCAATGCCGGATATATACTTATTATTTACATATATATATACATGGCGTATACGCCGCATGCTAAACGGCATATTTAGTTGTTGCTTAATTTCTACTTAGAGCTAATCTCGCTTGTTTGTTCGATATTTCAATAAATTTCCTATTCCGTTTTCATTTCAGTTACTTTTTCTTTGTCGCACTTCATTGTCAGCATATTCTGACTGTGTTCGGCATCGTGCGGCTTGAGGAAGTCCGCTGCATCCCAGGGCTGCTGGTCAGTCGTGCCCCAAATGATGTACACCAAGTTGCCAATGAAGAAAACGATGGCTGTTAATGCGAACACAATTTGCCATTGGCTGCGCGAAGACTGAAACAAAAGTAGCAGTAACAATTATATTTCAAGTCGTCTTTTTGAAGATAAGCTGAACTTACGGGTTCGGTGACAATTACGCCCACCAGGAGCGGCGTTAGCAATGGAAAAATATTGCCAACTCCGTTCACGATGGCCATAAGCATGCCCGAATGGTTTGGCGACATATCGATGATGGTTAGAATGCTGCCAATGCCGGAGCCCGCATTCAAGCCCGCATTGATGGTCATCAGCGCAATGGCCAACTCCGTCTGGCTCTTGTCCAGAAAACCAATGCCAATCAGTGCCGCTGCCGGCCCCCAATAAGATATCGTATTGATGGACTTGCGCAACGTTGTCAGCGACATCCATTGCCTCGACATAGCGATATCCGCAAACACTAGATACACATACGACATGCACCACATGGCCAGGAATGGCAGTGCCGAATATAACGCATTACTCTTAATATCCATCTCCAGTACGCCGTGCATATAGGCGGGCGTCTGCAGCTGCATTGTTGAGTTTGCCCAGCCCTGGGCACTGCGCACTATCAGCAGTGCGTAGAACGGCACAGATGTCCAAATCGCACGCCACGGTACGGGTATCTTCTGTTCGTGAAAGCCATCATTGCGCCGCATGGAACGCTCAATGTAATCACGCTCCAGTTGGCCAACTAAACGTGAGTCGGGAGCATTGTTTGCCCCAAAGAGCAACCAGAGCACACACCAAATGCCGCACAGACCCGCCGAAACGTACGATATACCCGGCCAGCCCAGGGAGCTATGCGCAATTAGTCCACTTAAGCCCATGGCAAAAACGGAGCCACAATCGGATCCCGAGTAGGCAAATACGCCCAAACGATTTCGATCCTTTGGCGGCGACCATTTCGCCAAATGCTCGTGTATACAGGGAAATATTAGGCCCTGGAACAGACCCATCATGATGCGCAGCACACTAAACGCCACCCAGCCGCCCCAGCTGATGAAGTAGGGCGTCAGGGCGCTCAGCACCGCTGTGGCACAGGTGGGTATGAAAAGCACGATCTTGGCGCCAAAGCGACGCACCAGAAAACCTGCGGGGAACTGGGTCAATATATAGCCCCAGTAGAAGCTGGAGAGTATATACGATTTTTGCGCCTCCGTCCAATCATATTCCTGCAGACATAAAATGATTAGAAATCTATTTTAGAAATACATGTCTTGCATTTATACCGGGAAATCCGGATTGGAGGATTCCGCATTCGTCATGGCCACAACAGCAACGCTGACATTGAGCCGCGCAATATAATTGACAACAATGGCCACGAAGAGCAAAGCTGCCTGCAAATGTCGTATGCCAATAAACGGCCCTTAAGGGATGGGAGCAACAAATCCAAATTGAGTTTATCAGGTATAAATTCACTAAATATATAAAAGTAACTAAAAAACAAAAAGTCATATTGGTCGAATTGCCTAGAAATATTCACCGCACATCCCTCAAAGTCTATTACAGATTTACATATTTCTGATAAGCACAGAATAAGAAGATCATAGGCAATAAATACATGAATTGTATATTTCTAATGTGTATTTAAATAAATAATTATTTTATTAAAATGAATATACATCGATATATGGGTTTCCAAAAATATTTTAATTGCCTTAGATTTGACTATATTGAGATACCGCACTTAATCACTTGCCAATTTATAATTTACTATCTATAATATTATCTAAATGAACATAATTTTCAAACACAAATATAATTCGAGATTGATTAACTTCCAAGTTTTATTCAGCACACTTTCGATAAGCAAACCGAGTAATTAGAACAGTTCGATCATTAAAATTGTATTGTGGGCGAGATAAACCATTTTAAAATCACTGACGATAAGCTTAATGGCCATCCAATCAATACCACCTTTAGGGGGTTGATGTTTATGCAGTACATATGTGGAATAGATTAGGAACTCATTTTTTATCTTATCGTGAGAAAAAATTCCTTCCAAAGCCAATCAAATATGGATTTTCAACAATTTCATCCAAGCAATGCAATTAGGTTTGAAATTATGAAAAGTTGTGGTTTATAAAAAAAAACGCAGAAAAAAATGGAATGCATGACTTAATGCCACCAAGCAAACAATACAATAGTGATTATACACAATTCTGTTGTGATTTATAATTGAAGTAAACTACAATACAAATACAGTATTGAGATTCATATTTAATAAAAGTATTTTACAGCACAATTTTGTATGATTTTGATTATTTGTTAATTCGCAAAAATAATAATTAATGTACACAATTTGTTTATAATCTCGATTTCATTTTTCAATGTATTTATTTCAGCATTACAAGCATTACAAAAAAAAAAATAATCTCCAAATAAAATATCACGATCTAATCTGCTGCTTTTTGCATTCACTTTTTGCACATGACCTACATAATCCTTTTTCACTGGAAATATTCACCTGTATTTTCAACAACAGCGCTCATATTAGCAATTTAATTAGCTGCGACTATATTGTATTTTATGAGCGTCTACATAAATATAAATATTAAAAGGCTAACCGTTCACAGCCAGACAGTCTACAAACACGAAGCGTCCACACTTGTCAATATCAGAAATACGTCTGAGCGTTTTCGAAAGACCCCAGTCATATACAATACTACTGCACGTGTATATGAAGATTATCAAGCATTTATTAATGCAATTAGACTTTCTGGTTGGGTTCTGTGCTGTTCAGCTATAAAGTCCATTAAAATGTTTTACAATACGTACGATAACCGCTGGCATTTTTTTTTTTTATTCGCTACATAAACATATAAGCACGAAACAATTAATATATTGCATAACAGCTATAGCTAAATGAATAATATAAAACTTCATAACAGTTAAATGACGTTTTCATACGAATTTGTAAAGCAATTATTTCAAATTAACATATGTAAACATTATCGAACGTGAATCTAAAAAAAGATTGTTAAATGCATCAATGAAAAACTGCGTATCTAGAAAATGATACTCGTCTTACAAAAATATATATTAATTTCAATTTAAATAAGCCATTAAAGGTTGAGCAAATAGAGTCGACTTATCTGAAACCGTAAAATTCGAAATCTCATTTCTTAATCAGCTAAAGTATTCTAGTCAAGAAATCTCGCTTGTTGTTTGCTCAGTAAACGATTTCCTCACAAATTATCACAACCCATTCAAAAGTAGGCAGTATATAAAGTATATAGTATATAAATCAATAAAAACTTCTGTTTTAGGCATATCAATGATTACATACCCTTACAGATTGGAGTGTACCTAATGGCATATAAATCCATTGTAACTGTAAAATCCAACCGATTGTTCCGATTGTATGACAGCTATATGATGTATTGAGCCGATCTAGCTGGTTACTGTGTCAAGTTTCATGGCTAAAGGTAGCTTAAAAACTAGTTCACATAGAATCAGACAGACACGCAAATCAGTGATGCTGATCAAGAATATAGATTTACCTTATTTGATCGGAGACGTTTGAAACTTTATGACCAAATTGTATAACAAAAAGCTTTTCTAATATGCAGTTTATTTATCGAAAACCATAAAACAAAACAAAGAAAAATATACTAACTTATATATATGTATATAAATTATATAACCACTGTAAGATATTGTTTGTCAGTAGAGCAAGCACTTTAAGCGAAGAACATCTGCAAAATAAATGTGAAATTCATAAAATAATGGTGCAAAAATAGTTGATGATGACAAAATACATGGCATGGTGGCTATAGCAACACCCTCCACTACACCGTTTTAGGGGTTTACTGCCATGCAGCGAAGCTGAGCAGCTACAAATGGCTGCGGATGCAGTGGATGTGGCCCGAACAGCAGCTAAGCGGGCAGCAGCTGCCACAATCAAGTCAACAGGAGTCGAAAAATGCACACACCCATAAACATATGCACATATTCATATATATTTATATGTGTGTGTGTGTGTGTGTTTGTGTATAAAACAAGCATAGCATGGTAAATGGATAATGCTCAGTGTGCGCGCGTGTGTGTGTGTATCAGGGTCTAAGGTCATTTTCAATTTGCATAAATCATGTATGTCCATGTGAGACCCAGTCTGCATTAGTGTGTACCCTCAAATAAAACCACAACAATTGCTTGGTAAATAAAGCTCCGGGTAGACTAAGACAGCAGCTGCATTAAATTTCAACAAATTTATAAAGACGTATGCTACATTTATACATATATATGTATGTACTAAATAGCAAATCATATTTTATAAACGAATTTAAAGAAGCTAAGAAATACAGTGGTCACTGCGAAACTAGAACTTTAAAATGTTATATATATATATATTATCTAGAATAAATAAATCATGCCTTTGTCAATAGCAATTTTATATTAAAACCATTTATCAGTTGTCAACAAAGGTATTTCATTTACCCAACTAGGCGTTTACACAACGCCCCGAAACGCTTGTTTATGGCAATCAAAATTGTTGACTACCAAAAAATTTGTATGCTAACTTAGCAGTGGCAGTCAAAAAGTCAACCGCATCCAATGGACCTGGCCAGGGCTAAAACAGCCAACAACAGACAACAAACAAGAGCAACAGCAAGTTGATTTATAAGACTTTCATATGGCGACGCTTAGTTTTGGGCGAGCTGTGCCAGGACGCTCGTCTGTTTTGATCATTTGTGAATCATGTGTAGCTGTTATGACTTTGATTTATATGCTGTGCATATGCATAAGACCACAGGCCCAATTGCGCGACGCGTTCGCAACTACAAATGCCGACAAGCCCGGAAACGTATATGGCAGCGGTTAGCGCCCATAACCTAGTCCAAATGCATACACTTCACTGCGACACAAAACGACAAATTCTCGTAAAACGCAAATGGCGCCAGCAGCAACCGCCCACATTGTCCACATCCAAAAAGCACATCCCCAAAATACCAATGCTCTAACCCAAATTATTTGATTCAACCAAAAATACCATCGCACTGTGAATCGACTAGTTGGTCAGATTGAGGATTGCGGAAGAGTAAGGGAGCATGTTTGGGTACGATTTGGTTAATGCTCGGTTGCCGCCGCATTGTAAAATTTACGTAAAACCGCTTAATTGGGTTGCAATTATTTTGTTTATACGCGCAAAAGCGAGTGCAAATTTTAAATAAAACCGCCACTATAACGGTACAAAGCATTCAATTGCGGCGAACAAAGAACATTTGAATATTATTGGAAATAATATTAGGAAATAAATATGTTTATTGAAGACAAGACAAATACATACGTTGGTCGCGACTTGAATTTAAACCTAAATTAGTTGGACACAATTCTCGCTGAATTCAAACAGAAATATGCGAAATTTTACATTAATACACACAATTGCATACACAATAATGTTAACTATTTAAAAACAAAACAATTTAAACATTTTTAAAAAACTTATAGGACCGAATTTCGCAATTCCCATCGTCATTTATCCTAATTTGTGCTTTTCATAATCATATTGAACTTGGCTATGGCCGCCTCGGCACATTTCTCGTTTTCAGCCAGATCAGATTTGAGCAGCGTTCGCAATTCCTGTAAATTTGGCATGCTGCGACAGTCGCGTACATTGAGCAGCGTCCGGAATATGGACTCCCATGTCTGACGATGAAAGTAGCGAGGAATTGCCGTCTTCGGCATCCAAACGCCGCCCGCCTGACGCTGCGTCACTTCCATGTAACTGCCAAAGAGCAGCACATGCATCACTCCCACCAGACCAAATAAATCCAGTTGATACGTCCAGCGGCGTTGGGTGCGCATCTCAATGCACTTGAAGGCATCCTCATTGTTCACATAGTCGAACGTCTGATTGGGCGGAAAAAGTTTGGTGTCAATTGCCACACCAAAGTCAATCAACTGCACACTGAGCTCATTTGGTTGTCCACTCAAGCTGTAAATGGAGTATGGGAAATCAATGCTTAAATTGCAGTCGCTTCAAATTTAAATTTACAGAATATAAATGTTTTATGAATATTTTTCGATAAAAACTGTAATACGCTTGTATCGATTTCAGGCAATAGCTGTAAGATATTTATAAATCAAAGATAAGACAGATATAAATTGAATGAAATGGTTGATTCAGTTGTCTACTTACGGTCTCGTGAGTAGAAAGTTATCCGCTTTAATATCGGCATGAATGATGCCCAAGGCATGCAGATGATCGACAATGTCGAGCAGCTGACAGCAGAGATGCATCACAATATACTCATCCAAATTCTTGGTGGTGTGCTTCTTGTATTTGTTGCACACACAGATCAGCGAGCCGTAAGTCGAAAGTTCCATTATATAAACGCTGCTATTATTGCCCACCAGAGCATAATCGATGTGCATATATGCGGGTAGCTATTGAAAATTCAACAAACCAGTTAGTTAAGTGTTGCAATGAGATATACGGCTATAAAATATATTATATTACCATCTCCTCACTGGCCAGCCGAGAGTGCACCTCCAGGCAGATGTAATACTCCCAATAGTTGGTGGGCTTCTCCTGTTTGAAGGCGACTTTTTTGCCCGACTTGCAATGAATACCGCTAAATATGGAACCATAGGCGCCCTTGCCAATCATTTTGTCGACCTCAAACCTGTCGCCATTGACCTCGAGCGTGGACTGTGGCTTTAGGCGCTGTACATGTCCTTGCAGCTGGCAATTCGGCAGCTTCTCAATATACAGCGAGAACTCAATGGAGTCCAGCAGTGAATTTATGACATCCATACTGAAGGGATTCACATTGCGGCTGGCCAGCGTTTCGTTTAGCACGGATTCATCCACACTGGCCTTGCGGTGCTCAAAGTTCTCATTTGGCATCGATTCGTGCCAGGAATTGTGGGACGATTGCTTTGGCGTCAGCGGTGTTTTCTTGTAATATATGCTCCTATCATCTAAATCATTGCCGATGGTTTCCTCTATGATAATCGTCGGTCCAGGCTGCCTTCGGTGAACCGGTGATTTGCTGGGCTTGCCTCTGCTTGCCTCGGGCAGCACCGTCGAGTTCTTTATCATGCTGTTGTTGCTCGCAAACATTTCGGTCGCCGCATTTAGTTCAAAGTAATCGCCAGACTGTTTCTCCGATTCCGCCTGTGAGTTCGATTCCTGAAGAAACTTGCGCTTTGTTTCAGCTGTTTTTGCTGTTGATGTGCTGGAAGACGTTGAGGGGCATTTGCTTAGCTCTGTGAAATCATTCATAAACGAGGCGGTCAGATGAGCGGGTCCGATGGTCTCCAGCTGCTCGACAACAGCAGCTGCTGCTCCTCGTCCTTCTGGCTGCGTTTCGGGCAATGTGCAATCCAATATGACGATTGGCAGCGGCGGCAGCGGCGGCAGTAGGAGTGGATTGGACTCATCCCGAAATACATCGAACTTGTTTGTCGTTTGACTCTTATCCGGGATGGGGCAGATGCTTAGCTGCGTGCAATCCTTCATAAACGAGGCAGTCAAGTGCGCCGGCCCAAGAACTTCCACATCTGGTTGAGTTTCCGGTAATGTGAAGTTCATCAGTGGTGGCACCTCTGGCGGCGGAGGTGGCGGCATTGTATCATCCAAAAAGATTTCCAATTTCTTTTGAACAGTCGCTTGACTTTTTGGCGGCAACTGCGTCTCTGGCACAAAGGATAAATCAGCCATAAATGAGTCGGCCAATTTGTTAATGCTGGCTTTGGCCACAGGTAGCGAGTACTCTTGGTCGTCAAACACCTCAAAGCAATTCCGCTTGGGCTGCTCAGCTTGCTTCCTTGTCTTACTCATCTGGTTCGGCGTCTGCTGATTACAAAAGCGCTTCGAGCTGGCCGCGTAGAGTGGTGAATCAAATGCCTTGGACATTGGCGGCGACTGGGCAAACAGGCCGCAAATGTCATCTTCATCGCTCTGCGTTGGCAGCTGTGGCACCGATGGCTGCGCCATCCGTTGATGCATCGGTGTGTTCGGTATGGTCAATGGCAGTCGGGGCAAAGTTTCGGTTTTATCATCCTGAAAGCAGGATAACAGTGGACGGGTCACCGTTTCAGTTTTATCCTCCTGGAATCGCAACGATTTCAGTAATGGCACACTGGGCGCATTCGGCTCCCACATCTCCGGCCGCTGAAAGTTGCCAGCAGAAGCGGGATCGGTAATGGAAGGCATCTCCTCGCCAACGATGGATAGTTGACGCTGCAGTCGCGTCGGGCCCGGCGTGCATTCGCCACCCTGCAATGCCTCCGATTTGCCCGTCAGCTGCGAACCGGGCGAAGCGGAGGCATTCGATGTGAGCGTCGATTTGGTGCTGCCACCAATGGCATGCTCCGATGTCTCCAGTATGGTGGAGAGCTGCTTGCGCAGTATGGGCGAACCCACAGGTGCCGCTTCCAACTCCGCGTGCTCCTCAGTGGTCGGAGTCGGTGGAGCCGCCACTGGCGTCTCCTTGAGTATGGTGCCAAATTGACGCGTTGACTGTTGCTTCTGTGGCGCCTTGGGTGTGCTCACTGCCTGCGATTTAATGAATATGTTGAACATTTGCGTGGAGCACGTTTCATCCGCATCGAAGAATCCGCTCGAAGCTGGCTTTACTGCCGATTGTGGCGGCGGCATCACCTCATCCTCAAATATTTCTATTTTACGTGTGGGCGGCGCTGGCATTACAAATTTATCCTCCATAGGTGATGCTGCACTTGGAGCAGCAGTTGTAATTGCAGTTTCAATTGGAATTTGAGTTGGAGTTAGAGTTTCAGTTGTAGCTGCTGCAGGATCTACCCATATTTGGTTGGCCACTGGATCAGGTGTTTTGGGCTTGGCAACCGGTTCAGTCTGCTCTTGCTGCTGCAGCTCCTCTTCTTCATCCTCCTCCTCTTCCCTCAAACACGATATTCTGGGCATAACGGATTTTCTACTAGATCCTGGCTGCATGGCTGGGAAGAAGCTCTTTCGTCGCGGCATCTGTTCACCTGGCAGACACACCGTCTCCTCCATGTCTGCGACGCCTTGAGCAGCGCGTTCCTTCTGTCGCCACTTTGCCACCAGCTCCTCCAGCTGATACTCCTGCTGCTGCTCATCGTTGTAGATCTTGTCCAGCAATGTGGTTATAGATGGTGCCACAGGCGGCTTATAGTAGGCATCCAGCTCATCGCGTGCCTGTGGCTTGGAGACGCTTGCAAAGTTCGGATAGCGACGGACACCGTAAGCTGGACCATTGCTCCACCATGATTCGTTGCGCAGGACATAGGGATGCTGATCGCTGCGACTTTTGAGCCAGCAATAGGCACGATACTCCTCCGGCGAGAACTCCATGTTGGGACGTGGATACAGCATGCATTTGTTGTAGCACGGCAACGTATTTCCATCCGGCTCATCCTCAATTGTAACAGGCGTCACCCAAGCAGTCTGGGGTACATTCTTCGGTACAAAGTTCGCTGGACTTTTAAAGGGCTTAATGTCGTTGCCCTCGGGATCAATGATAGGCGGGTGTGTCTTCTCATCCACGTGTATGGCAAAGGCCGGATCATGTGCAGCCGTCGAGCCAAAGATCCTGCCGTGCTTGTGCGGTTTGCTCCACGCAATGGTTTCCTTGAGATTCTCCTGTTGCCGTGTCGCATCAATAATCGAACGTAAACTGGATTTGCCCTCAGCTACGGCCTCTGCTTCACTAGCAGCTGGCTGCTCCGTTGGCGGCACGTTCACATCGGCATTCTCATCATTGAATACTGCCAGCTGACGGTTGGGATTGCGACTGGCTCGACTCGTGCTGGGTCCAGAGTTCTGCACATTGCCGATGAGAAAGAAGAGTTCGATTAAATGGCCATGCCCAAAACTCAAATAATCTAAGATAAATACGATTTTTCTCATTATTTTTATGGGAATTCAACTTACTTGCACCACGCCGGGCGTATTACTTTTGACAGCAGCTCCCGTCCGTACGCTGCCCACTGTGACGGTGTTCTCACGCTTCTGGCCATGCAGCGAGCGCAGCGCTAAACGGCGATCGTTGAGCTCCTGTGTGACATCGGCTATCTCGCCCTCGTTATAAAGTAAGCGCTGGGCAACCGTATAGCCGAAGTGCAGTTGGGCCTCCTTAAGCTTCTCCAGTGGCTGGGCACGGCATTCGATGCCGAGGCGAAAGATTTCGTTTGCTTTGCGCATGTTGCCACTCAGATCGTAGCTATAGGCCCAGGCTATATAAAAATCGGCCAGCATGGTGCCAATTCCGCTGTTGTACATCTGCTGATAGCACTCAATCTGATCGCCTTGGTTGCCCATCTGTAGTAAATGGATAGCAAGCGTTTTATGGCAATGCTCTACAGCTTTACAGGCACACTTACGAATTTAATGAAGAGTTTTATAAGTCTTTGGTCCTGTTTATAGCGCTCATCCTGCTCGAAGCGGGTGAGGCATTTCTGCATGACCTTCTGCAGGCCGCAATTGGTGCCGCCCGCCGGATAGCTCTGTTCAATCCAGCATATGTAGGCATACCACGGCTCCAACGGATCGTCACCCTTGTAATTGTTTATATTCAACTCGAGCTGCTTCCGCTGTGCGCTCAGCTCTTGGGAGGCGTCTTGGGTAAGCGAGGCTTGCAGGAGGCACACATTGCGTCCACTGGCCAAGGGCTGTATGTTCTCCTTGGCATTATCGAAATCCATTGTATTCTTATCTTAAACTCTCAATGCACAAAATTTAGCAACTAAATCAAAAGCAAAAATCGCGCGAAAATAACTCAAACGACGCTTGCTTTTAATTGAATGGCGGCGCTACCTTAAAAAATATCGTTGACTTTATCGATAGATTTAGATTGTAGCAAAACTGCGGGGTACGCAGGTAAATTTACTAAAGCACCAGAGTTATCAACTTTGTTGAATATTATTACAAACCATTATTAAAATAATAGTTATGCCGCTTAAAACAAATGTAAAGGCTCTTAATTTAAGCTATTAATATTAACATAATAGTAATAATATATATATTTATATAATAACATACAATACTCAAAGCATTGAATTTATCGAGTCGCCTTGACTATCGATTTATCTGCAGACCTGCCGATTACATTTGACCCCTATTCGAACATAACGGCTAATGACTATCAATTGTACGCAATTTCACAATAAATCCAAATCTACGCGTGTTAACTGTAGCATTTTTATTAAATTGTAATTATAATAATTATAAGAATATTAGATTAGAATAATTTAAAAGCTCTGATAGGAGTAGGCACGCCAGTTATTGTTGCTGCCACCACCTCCCCCATAGCTTCCATCGCTGCCAAAGTTGCCTCCGCCGTTTCTTCCTCCGTCTCCTGCTCCATCGTTGAAACCGCCTCCTCCACCTCCGTTGTTGTATCCGCGGCCACCACCTCCTCCACCTCCATTGTTGAATCCGCTGCCACCACCTCCTCCTATATTGTTGAAGCCACCGCCGCCGTTGCCGCTGCCACCACCTCCTACTCCATTGTTGTAGGCACCTCCGAATCGTCCATTGTTGAAGCCGCCGTTGCCACCGTAGCGATTTCCAAAACCACTCGAGCGGCCGCCTCTATAGCCACGACCACCACCTCCAAAATTTCCACTACCACCGCCACCACCGAAGCTGCCTCTAGATTCGCCTCCACCGCCATCTCTTACATCTCTTCCACCATAACCACCGCCATCGAAACGTCCACGCTTGGCTGCTCCACCAAATCCACTATTGTTCTCGCGGAAGGTACGGGACATAAAGGGCATCACACCAGATTCACGATGCAGCCCATAATCGCCAGCATTCTGCTCGCAGAGTTCGCGGACCACGCGCACCAGTCGGGCGTAGCGGTCATCCAGCTTTAACACACCGCTGGGATTGTCGCAAGCAATGGTTATTAGATCTTCGAGGGCCGGCTTCAGTGCTCCAATCTTGGCGGCATGCTCGGGATCCATCTCGAAATTGAGCCAGTTATCCACGCGCACAATGCTGTTGGGCGCCAGATCGATTTTGCGCGAACCGAAGAGCATCACCTGAAGCGGCGTAACCATGGACATTTGCTTGCAGGACACGGCACGCGTGCGAATCTTCTCGCCGAAGACAAAGAATGGATAGGGGAAGTTCACAGCCAGATTGCTGCAGTTCACCGAAGTCTTGTGGAGCAAAGCCGCCTTCGACTCGGTGGTGAGCACCTTGCGCTTCTCCTTGTGCACACAGATGTTCGGATATAGTCCGAGACAGAGCAGCGCCGTTGCGACATCCAGCTCGGGATCATTGGCATTGGCATCCACCTGATGACCCAGCATGCACTCCTCGGGGAAGCCCGCCTGCTGCAGCAGATCGAGTAGCTGCATCTTGGCATCGTACATCACATTCATGGTCGACATTTGCAGTCCCTTCCAATCGCAGAAGCGCGCCTCCTCCTGCTCCCCACGATGCTTGGCATTCTGCCACAGTTGTGAGGCAACGATCATGGCCACATGATCCGAGCACTTGCGTCCGCTCAGCGCCTTCTGATGGTTGGCCAAACGTCGCTGGCCAATGTCCAAAGCAAACACCTCCGAAAAGGTACTCGAATAGGAGGCCATTCCAGCGACGAGATCAGCGCATCCAAATACTGCGCCCAGCACCATCATCTTGCCCAGACGCGGCTCAATGGGCAGCCGGGCGAGAAGTCTGCCCAAGGGCGTCAGATTATCGTTGGCATCTAGGCAGCGCATATCCCGCAGCAGCACCTCTGCCTCGATGACAGCATCCACTGGCGGTGGCTCCAGTGCCTTGGACAGGAAATGATGTATGGCGCCCAGGCGTAATAGCTTCACCGTCAAGGCGATCTCATGCAACGGTGTGCGGAACATTTCCGGCGTCAGATTCTCCTCCAGCTGGGCGAAGCGTGCGCGTGAGCATAGCGTGAAACAGAAGCCAGGACGGACGCGACCAGCGCGTCCCTTGCGCTGCTCCAGATTGGTCTTGCTGGCCCAAACGGTCGCATAGCTGGTCAGATTGTTGTGCGATGTGAATAGCTTCATGCGTGCCTTGCAAATGTCCACCACAAATACAATATCATCAATGGTAATCGATGTCTCGGCAATGTTTGTGGACAGAATGATCTTGGTGACGCCATCAGGCACCGATTCGAAGACCTTGCGCTGATCATCGCGCGGTATCTGCGAGTGGCAGGGCAAAATGCGATATTGCGGATTGCCAAAATTGGTCGAGCTCTGCAGATACTTCATCAGGGCAAATATCAGATTCCAGCCGGGAAGAAAGACCAGAATGGCACCGGGTATATTCTTCGATTTGATGTGCATCAACAATGACTCGAGCAGCTCGAAGCTGACGTCCGATTCGGACAACAAGGCCATGGCATTGCGAGTCTGCTGCGAATACTTGTCCTCGCACACCTTGTTCAGATTCGATTCGCCCTCCTCGTCGTTGTCCTTAAGCAGAAGTCGCTCCTCGTCGTCGGCCTCCTTGCGCTTGCGATGCGACTCTGCGGACGGTACGAAGCCGGTCATCTGAATGATGTCCTCCAGGAAGAACTGTTGCACGGGAAATGCACGTCCAGGCACCTCCAGCACCGGACAGTCGCCAAAGTATTTGGAAAATAGAGTCGTATCAATTGTAGCCGACATAAGAATAACTAAAATAAGAGAATGAGAATGTTATTTTTGGACCGTCAAAGATGAGACAAAGATGAGAGATAGTCTTCAAATTGATAACTCACTGTGCAAGTCCGGATAAGTGGCGACCATGTCGCGCAAGATGACCAAGAGAAAGTCGCTGTTCACATCGCGCTCGTGTATCTCATCGACAATAATGTGCGAGATACCGCGCAGGCCCGCCTCCAGTTTGCGCAGTAGGACGCCCACGGTGCAGAAGAGGATGGCGCCGTACGGACGCGGAAAGACGGACTCAAAGCGCACCGAATAGCCAACACTATCGCTCAGTTGCTCGCAGCGTTCACGTGCGACGCGCTCAGCCACCGAAATGGCCGAGATACGACGCGGCTGGGTCACATAGATGTTGGCATAGCCACCCTGGCCCGATGTGATATAGTCGTCGAGGATATATTGAGCAATTTGTGTGGTCTTGCCACACCCGGTGTTGCCGCGTATGATGACCACTTGACTCTCGTTGATGGCGTTCATGATCTCGGAGCGCATGGCTGCAATTGGCAGCTTGTCGCGAAACTCCAAAAACTGACGATATTCGGCATCGCTCTCGCGACGATCACGCAACTGGTGCTCGTAGTCATCAGAGAGTTCATCCAGCGAGGCGGTGGCCAGAGTGCCCTCATCAATGTTGCAGGCATGCCAGGCATTCCAGTTGGGCTGCGGCGGTGCCCAGGGAATGACAGCAATGTTGTCTTGACGCCCGTCGCTATCCTGGCTCATATCCAAGCGAGCTGGTGTAACCTGATTCCAAATAACACATGAGTTTAATGAGGGATTCAGTGAATTAATGTTAACTTCAAATACTCACGATTAGAGACATGGGCATGCCGTCTGGTTCGACTTTAATGTTGCGTGGATTGACCACAGGCAGATCGAGATCCCTGATGACCTCATCCACATCATCAATGAGCAGTTGATTCAGCTTGACTGGATATGGCTTCAGTTCCTCATCCTTTTTCTTTTTGAGCGTGCCGCTGAATGCTTCGATAACTTTCAAATGAAAGAGTTGACGCACCAGGGAAAGGGCGCAAGATTTGCTCGCCGCTTTCTTGTTGGAGCCAGTCTCCCTTGCGGTGACCTTGCGCTTTAGGGCCGGCACAAATATGGACAGCTCGGCCATATAGCTCCTACACACATAGCGATGGAGAGAATGGTTTAATTGTTTAATTGTTGGAGCTGTCTGCTTCTGCCACACTTACCAACTTACGGTCAAGGACATCAAAACTCAACCTGTGCTGTGCGCAACTGATGCAACTCTCTTTTTCTCTTAGTTACACACGGATGCCAGACTTTCAGAGCTACAATGTGCACCTATCTCAATATATATATTTTTATATATGCAGCCAAAATGATGGCTACGATTCTTTGTAATTGTTGGAGATTATTGGACTCAAGCCAATCTGCTGTCTGCAATGTGTGGACGTGTCTTTTGTATTTGTTGTGCCAAGTTGCTCTGAAAGCCCAGCCCAGTCGCGCTCGGCACAGTTCTAATCATGTACAGTGCACGCTCGATAAAGTGAACACTCTTTCAAAATACACTAACTACATTCTAAAACTAATTCTGTATGAATACGAAAGAGAAGCGAAAAATCAGATTAGATTTGATAGCATCTAAAAACTAAAATTACATTACATATATACCCTTGCAGAGAGCGTTATTATTTTCTTAAGATACTTCAGTTATTGTGACTAAGCCGTTTTATCATCATCGGATTATTATAATTTGGTTTGATTAAAAAGTCATACACAGAGAAATTGTTTGGACACAGGAAAAAATGCAAAAAAAAATATTATAAAATATGCTTTTATTTCTGTGTCCAAACACTTTCTTGACATACTGTATCTGCAAGGATATTTTATCCTCGGCACACCGAAGCGAACAACAATTAACAATTTACATTTCGACAAATAGGAAAGAGTCTTGCTTATTTGATTGGTTCACCTTATCGAGCGTGTGCTGGATTTGTGTGCATTTACTTTCAGACTCTCGGTGCCTGTTCATAAATTGCGCACAGCCCGGCATTTATAGCCATAACTACGAGCTGCGCTCCAGATTTGGGCCAACAAACGCCAAATCCAATGCGCAGCTTACCAGACGCAAAAAAAAAAAACAAAAAAACAGCAAAGAAAAATAGAAACCAAGGCAGTGGATAATGCAGTGGTGGATGCCTGGCGCACACTTACCTGGCATGATTTGGGCCAACGGGCGTAAACTTGTAGTCTTCACGAATGTTATTCGATTGCTTATAAATATTCAAGCAATCTTTGGCATTCTCTATGGTCCAGTTGCCATGGATAGCCGCGTTCACATCAATTGACTCCGCCTCGTTCATGTCCTTTTGTTCCTGGACATGATCGAAAAGGCTGAAGCGTTCACGTCCACCTTCATGGTTAAGTGGACGATATGCCTCGCCCAAATCCTGCGGTCCCGATGCGCCGCCAAAGACACGACGCTGCTGTACACCAGGCATGCGTGCATTATTGCTATCAACATCGATGCCAGCGGCAAATGCTGGCGATGCACCGGCGTCTGGTGGCACATCTTTCACATTCAGTTTGCCGGCGCGCACCAAATAGTTGACAAAATCACGTGAGGCATTCTTTTCGGCATCCTTCTTGTTGGTGGAGTTGCCCACAGCGACATAGGAGCACAGATCAACGCGCACCTCGCACAGAAAACGCTGGCGATGTTTTGGCCCTTAAAAAGGGAATTGAAAATGCTCGTCAAATGTTATTTGCCGGCTTGTTGTAAATCACTAATTATGTGGGCACTTACCAGTTGGACGCACTTCGAACTTGGGCTCCGTTTGGTTCTTGGCACAATAGGAAAATAAAAATGATTTTATATCCATTTTGTGCAAAGACTTTAATCAATAAAACAAAAAATATTTTTAGGAATTGATGGAACCGATCTCCCTTCGCCCAGAATGCTTGTCAAATGCAGAATGAGAATTGAGAAAATTGTGAACGCTTCTCAATCGTTCCTTCTAAAACTCGTGAGCGAACCAAGTTCTGATTCTTCTATCGAACATTTTCTGTTATCAGGGAACTAGTATTTGCACAAATTTAAATTATTCACAGCTGACACTATTTAACGGTTAAGAAACTAAGTAGTTAATAATATAAATGCAATTTGGAGGAAAATTACTCAAACATGCGTAGACTAATTATAGTAATCATAATATATAGCCAAATTGTACAAAAATTAGTTCGTAACAGGTACGAATTAGCAGCGATACAGTCCCTAACAGCTGTTAAAATTGCATTGTTAGACATCGCTGCTTAACATTATTCGATACAAATGTTACGAATTACATAGTTGCAAATCGATGGTAATTTATTTGCATTCCTGTAGCTGACACTTATGTATCGATGCTATCGCTGTAGCAGTGCTTATCGACTGTCGCGTAGGTTTTCATCGGGGAGCCATTTTCGCTGCAGCTGAAACTTGTAAATTAAATAACTTAAAAATGTGAAAAAAATGCAATAAATGGTCAAGCAGAATAGTGTAATAATGTATGTATGTGCCTCAATAGTGTATCAGTGTTTTTGAATTGTTTTCTTAATGGTCGCGTCCAATCCTGTTGTTTGGCCACCCAGCATCACACACATACATACATGCAAGAAATACCAGAAAAATACATACATCAATACGCACTCACAACAGAGCATAGTGTGAGCACTTGGTTTAGTTAGAGAGTAAAAATATACATGTACAATACATACAAATGCAATAGCAATAAGGCAACAAACAATTTAGTTAAATATTTAACCGACGACGCGCTACAAACATAGCCGAAATAGCAAAGAAAGAAAGAAAGAGAGAGATAAGTGCCAACACCCCATGTTGATCGCGAGTGAGCAAATAAGCAACAGCAACAATAACAACAAAAAATAGTGTACGTCCATATATATATATATATTTATATATATCTGTGTGTGCGTGTGTGTGTGTGTGTGAGTGTGTTGTCCCCAGTATAAACAAACGAGTGCAATTGAATTGTAATTGGCGTGCATTCAGTTGCGTCTGTGTGTGAGTGAAAGTAATAGTTATTGCACACACACACTCGTACAACAACAGCAACAACAACACCACAACTACAAACAACTTGGCTTCCATTCATTGCATTTACGTCATTGTACGTCACAAATCACTGCTGCTCCAGCGAAACAGCAACAACAACTTCTTCCATCTGCCTCATCATGGGCAACTGTTTGCGCACACAGAAACCGGACAACGACAAGCCGCACACGGGCGATGTACGAAATCCCCTCGACGATCCCGGCACCAGCATTGGCGTTGGTGTCGGAGTCGGCGTTGGAGTCCCACAGATAGCGATGCCCATGCCCGGTCAGCCGGCGGAGCAGATTCGTCCAGTACCGCAGATACCCGAAAGCGATGCTGCCAACGCGAATGCCAAAATCTTCGTCGCTCTCTATGATTACGATGCGCGCACAGACGAGGACTTGAGCTTCCGCAAGGGTGAGCACTTGGAGATTCTGAATGACACACAGGTGAGTGAATCATCACACAAAATGGGAGAGGGAAAGAACTGAAAGAGAGAGAGAGAGAGCGTGTGTGATAGTGAGCGGAGTGATAACAAAACTGAGCAATGAAGTTTTTCGAATATTATCTTATCAACAACATTTTCCATTTTCGTATATGTTTGAGTGGCATTAATCCAATTGGACTCGCCTTTGGCAAGTTATGCATAACTTACAGCATTGTACACAGTTTCTGAGTACTTTGATCATTTAAGATTTATTATAAGCCCGCCGCATGCAGTTGCTGTTTAATCATGAAAACTCGTCTTAGTCATGCCAATCACATGGTCGGAGTTGTTTTCAATAGTGCTGTAAATGACGATGTGACGATTGACTTATCGCTAAACCATTTGTGTGTTGATATCAAAATAGCAGGAATGTTCATGTTTCATTGAATAGAACTTATCAGAACTTGAAATCTATATTGTATAGTCATATATGGATATACTACTTATTGTCGTTAGCCAGATTTATTTATCGATGTACATAAATAACAAAGTAAAATAAATGAATAACTTGGCTCATCTTAGGTTGAACATAAAATCGATTGTTGAAAATAATATTGCTTATATTTAATGTGTATACACAAAATTCTATGCATTTCACATGAATAATTATAATTTATTAGCGAGCTCTTCTCGAATTAAATTCTATATTGCCAACATTTTGAGTCATGCGTCATCTCAACAATCTCAGCCAAACTTTGCAACTTTTTCATTTTTCGTTTCTGTTTCTGCATTTTTCTACGCTTTTCTGTTTCAATGTCACTGGCTATACATATATATATATATATTTTTTTTTTTTCTGTTTTTGGCTGGAAAAGGGGGGCATGTCGAGCTGGCATAAAACCAGACGCTGTAATTGCGGCCAACGTTGCCACCACTTGCGACTTGCCACTCGCCACTTGAACCGACTCAACAAAACTCAAACTCTCAACTTGAGCCCAGACTGTGCATTTTGTATGCACATCCATCCGTCTCTTTTGTATCTGGTTTTTATTTTTGTATGCATACACTTACTTCAAATAGTCTGCCTACTCTAACTTGCAATATGAATTAAAATAAAATAAAATATTTGTATATAAAAGCAAATTACAAACTGCCCACACGTTTGCTGTTCATAATCGCAATTATTTAATTAGTTGAAGTTATTAAAGTAACAATTGGCCTATTTACTCTTAAATAGAGCATACAAATATCCTTGTTTATGTTTGTCATTAAAATCACAATTGCAGCAGCTCAACTTGAAAAATTAGACCAACAATGAGAGCAGGCCAAGCACCGAAACATTCAAATACTTTGCATATTTTTGGTACAGATTCTATGATTAGCCCCTTGGAGGCCGAATAGCACAATCTCACAATACCACCCACACCGACTGGGGGCAGATTGTGATTCTATTGTGACATAAGGCGCATTCAACTCTTGTAGGAGACGACACATAAACACACATATCAAATTATGGCATGCATATTTAAAGCGTTTACGTCAGCACTCACAGCCATGACCACCTTACGACTGTGTCCGCTTGGCCAATTGTGGCCGCCTGGCTGACTGCTCAGACAAGTGGCGGCGCCTAAAAGCATGACGTCCACCTTTGGCTGTCGGCCAAGAGTTGCGCACTCACAAATGCGGAATGGCCATTCTGTATGATGTGCTGCAATTTTGTAGCCCTGATTACTCTGAACGCATTCCCCATCCCATTAAGATGTTTCTCTCCTCTCCTCTCTCTCTCTCTCTCTCTCTCATCTCTCTCACCCACTCTCTCTCACTCTCGCAGCTGTCACCAAGCAACCAGAGTAGTCAGCCAGCTCGAAGCCGTTTCCGGTAGCGCTGTGAGCAACCAGCAGACGCGTTTAATTAAAGTATAAGTACAACAACAGCAACAACAACAAAAACAACAGCAGCAACCAGACTTTCAACTTGTCATAGTAGCAGCAAAACAAACAAAAATCTGACCATAAACTTCTCTAATCGAAAGTGCACGACTGGAAGATTATTTATGCTTCGCTTTTAACATACTGTATTTGTAATTTTTGAAAGCATTCCTAGAAACCTTAACGGTTTTCTTGATGAATTATAACCTAAATATGAGGATAGAAGAGCTTATCAAATTTATGATAGGAACATATGGTTGCATAGATTGCTGCTTTTTTTTACTAATCAAAAATAGATGTGTGTTTATGTATTTATGTCTGATAAATACATTTTCACTAGCTCCTGATACCCCTTCTACAAACTCTTTAGTGTTTACAGGGTATGTAAACAAAAAAAAAGCTGCCCGACTTCCTTTTGTAAACTTTTTTTACAACTTCGCTCAGTTCAACGGCATGCATAGAAATCAAAATTGTATATGCTCAAATATTTTATGGGTGTGCCTCGTCCGCTTCGTCGTCGTCGTCGACGACATCGTCTTAGCTCGTCGTCGTCGCTACTGTTCATTGTTATTTACCAACACCCAACATACAACACAGCACAAAACAAACACACACAGCACAACACTCACACCAGCTTACACCAGCTCATTCATTCACACACACTTGCAGTTTAGTCGCCTTGCACATCGTATATTGCAGATTCTTTGCGTGCGCACTCTTATACTTTGCCAGAAGAAGTGAAAGAAAAATGAATCGCTTTCATGCTTTTGCTTTTGCTTTTGCAGCAAAGAAGTCGCTAGACTCATTTGGGCTCGGCTCTCAAGCAGCAGGAAGCTCAGTGAAACCCTTCAAGGATTTCCCTCTAGCGAGACTTTACTCTCTGCCTGCTGCATTATGCTTGCAAGTTTCTTTTGTTTGCTGCTGCAGCCTCTTAGTCGGAGATTATGCATACGCTTTTAGCTCTATACAAAGTTTTCAGATTATGTCTATGGCTATTCAGAGCATGTTACGTACACATATGAACACTTTTTAACCAAAGTCAATTCAAGGTAATTTAAATGTATTGTTGTACCGCTAAAACTTGATAAATAAATACGTATTTATATTTTCTTCATGCTGGAAGTTGACTATCTTAAAAGCTAATCGCTAGATTAACTAGATAGAAAACTCAGTTAAAGAAACAAGAATTATTTGAAATTAAATCATCTTGTTTTTTGAAACATTTGTATGCCATTGATTTGAGAAGTGATCCAAAAGTAAGCTAAGTGAATGTCTCGACTTGGGTCAATGGCTTAACTACGACTTTGGTTAACTGTAAAGTCTGGACCTAAACTAAGTAGGACAGCAGTCATGAATATAAATCTGGAGTCTACAATAAGCTGACAACAAAAGAAATCCCATTTCTATTTCACAATCTGAGCATGGAAATGTCCAATGAACGCGTATCTAAGAATAAAA